ACGCCATTCAGATTCACAAGGTTAAACAGTCCGTTCTCTACGATAAATGGCAATCTAAAAATTTTCATAATCATTTGCTTAAAATTTCAGAGTCGAGTTCGAGGTTATTTAGCTCGGAAACAATATCAGAGAATGTGTCGGAGTATTGTCAAAAAAAACTGATATAAGTTCATAAATAAGCAACTTTGAAGTTTGAATTTGTTGAATATTTGTGAGAAATAATCCTCATATTCAAATCGTTTCATCTGCAGCGTTTCCAATCTCAGTTCTTAGGTTATAAATAGATTCATCATATGTACTTTTGTATTTAATCATTAAATTTTGGTCAATCTGACCCTTGTTGAGAACTACTTTTCATGTGTTGAAAAAAATGTGATACTTCTAAATTATTTTCAGTATTTTTATTTAAAGAGAACACTGTATATCGAAAACAGATATAATGCATTTATTGGATAGTTAACATGTTTCCTGAATTAGGATTTTCATCATCAGAAGGTACTACAGCTTATTGTATACTCAAATTTCACATGTCTTCCAAGAAATGAATTTTTGTGCTTTTCTGCCCCCAATTCATCAAAAAATTATGGCTTCCAAAATTTAAAGTCATAATTTTTTTATTAGTGTTTTGAATGTCAATCTCTCAGAGCAAAAATTGCTCTGAATTCAGAAATAACAAAACTCCCTTTTTTCTTCTTGTGAATATATTTCATCAATTGATTCCATTAGTTTTTAGCTCTTGAAATAAGCAAATGAATAAAATTTTTGAGATGAGACAATCACTAACAAAAACGATGGCACAAACATCTACATCCACACCAGTAGTGTAATATCCACATTCGGTTCTAATAAGTTCTTTTGTAACCAAAAGCAATCCCTTAAAACATAACAGTGATTCAAGTCTTCCATTGTAACTTTCGCAGATTATTCGACTCCTGGAACTTTGATTCAGTGATAGCAGTAATAACCATCAACCGGTAAAAAAGTGAGAATTATTAATCTTCTCGCACTTCGTCAAATTTTTTTCTAAATACATGCAATAAGTGCTATGAAAGGAAGTGCTCAACAGAAATACTAGCACTGATAAAAGTGGAATTCAGCAACATTAAACTTTGTCTTTTTTTTGCGGAACACGAGACAGTGAATCACTTCTTATGAGATGTCAAAAACTACAACAGACGCAACAGAAAATATCAGAATATTTGAGCATTGAAATCATGTTCGTTCACCTATACAATTGATCTTACGTACATTTTCTAGACACACACACCGTTTGCTATGTTTAAAAAAATTATATCAAAATGGACAGAAAAAGCACTTCATGAAAACCATGAAGAACGACTAACGGAATCAGAAAACCAGCAATGCATGGCTAAGCAAAAAACTAATAGGGACCTGTTGGATCTCCTAGAAATTTGCTGGATTTAAAAGTACCCTTCAATTTGTTAACTCTAAACATCCTTGAGAATTTCAATGGCAAGCTAACTTCCATTGTTCGCATTTATTTTTGGCATAAAAATGATTTCTAAAGCATTTAGGTATGCTAAACAAATGAGGGTTTCTTGAGCCCCAAAATATTTCATAAGCCTGTGTTGAAACAAACCCAAAATTAAAGCTGTACACTGACAATTAAATTCATAGGTGCAAAATTATACGATCGGAACACGAGATCGAAGCAGCTAATGAAGCTCTTACTGTCAGTAAGTCGAGCATTACCAGTTCAAGATTAATTTCGAGAACAATACTATCCACAAGTAGATGAAGTCAGCCCTTGTGTTTTGCATACAATCATCACTGGATATATTGTATCCAGTAACGGAAAGAATCAGAATTCTACGTTAATTATACAGAAATGTCTTCATAAAGACAAGTGTACATGATGATTTTTTTGATAACACGAAAACTTGCAATCACGAATTGTTTCTTAGAAAAAAAACCCTCAATCTTGAACCAGTTTCAAGTCATAATATAGAAACTTTTTAAATCAAAGAACTGATGATTTCGGCGTCAGTTTTGATCCTCTTTCATAAAAACTATCCTCTGGAGCGCTATCCTCCGAATCCCTAATATTACCACCTAGGACACCTGGTATATCATCCAAAGTTTCATCACGTACAGAAAATCGCTTTAACCTTGAAATATTCTCGAAAATACCATTCTTCGTTATTCTGCAACTCAGCATTATTTAAAATTTGGTTCTCACATAATCAAAGAATATATGATTTCGGCATCAACTTTGATCCTCCTTCATAAAAACTATCCTCTGGAACGCTATCTCCCAAATCCCTAACAATACCGCTTAAGACAAAATAATGATTTACAAAATAAAAATCTCTATATAGCAAAGTTGAATATATTAACCTTTTACAACCCAAAGTAGTAGGAATTTTTAACTCAACAATACTTATCCAATACAAAATCTGAAAAAATGAAGTAAAAATTAACTCAATTATGAATCAAAACCTACGCTTCTGCATCATCGCTATCATCTTGAGACAACCTTAAGTACGGATTTTTTTCTTGCGGTCTGAACTGATAGCCCGCAGTAACGAAAAATAAAAGAGTCGATGACTCTACAACTGAATCAGTTATCCAATTGTAGTTAAATGGTACTACTGCCTGCAATTGTCTGTCAGTTTTACAACTGCAAGGTAAGATTATTTCACTTCCAATATTCACAACTTTATCTTTGCTTTGAAAGAATTTTAGTGCTATTTTCTCGAAAAAATAACAAAAAATTTTAAGCAAAGAAAATACAGTTTCAAAATCAGCATTATTCACTTAAAAAATTGGAAACACGCTACTTTAAAATTTCTGGTCAGAGAGGACGACGTTATTTTCTATGAAAACAAGAAACTTTGATGAGATTAAATAATGAACAAATTGTTTTTTATCAGATTAGGTTTGACATATTCTACTGAAAAATCTCTAACCAAAACTATTTTTAGGCCAACATATGCCATCTTATTTTACAACAGTGAATTGAGCACCTAATTATAAATAAAATGTTTAAATTGTACCTCAACGATGAATTTGATTACGCGAGTGAAATAGATATAGCCTATAATGACTGAATAAAAATGTCGGAATAATTTTAATTTCTCAAGATTGAAAGCTGCTTTTCCATCACTTCGAGAACCCTCTTCCAAATGACGCATAGACCTGAAGACGGCTTAATTTAAAATTCAAAATTACGTTCCAAAACGACTGTTAAATGCTGTGGTCGTTTTAATAATAATCAGTTCGCATTACATCTGACTGAAAAATTCAGGTGACACACAGCTGTAATCCAGTTCAATACCTGCGTTGATCTAAAAATCTAGCAACTTCAGGTATTTTTAAACCAAAATAAATTTACAATAACATCAAACCATATAACTGGAAGAATAACTGCAACACAGCAGAGAAGATCAAAAAATATGAATATCTGCAACCAAAATTGATAACCCTGCTGCCCGAATTCACTTTCTTCAATAATTATCATAGCAACATTATCCATAACCTACAAAACTATTCTAGAGATTTATTTTACAATGCAATTTTACGAGATTTACATACACACACGAAACTGAAATATTTTCATTAAGTGAACTAACTAATTAACGTAGAATGCACAAAAACATTCTACGTAGTTCACTTAGCAATCGCAGCAGATGGCATACAAAGTAGTAATTATTGTGATGCAACAGCTAAAATTTAAGAGAGGTCATTCTGATCGGAGACTTCTCACCTCTATGAACAAAATCTTTGTACAGTTCTTAAGAAATATTAATCGCTTTGTAAATTTCTAACATACCACTTCAAAAGAAATAAAATTTTGTCATATGAATCATCTAAAATGTCGACTTGGAAAGTTTTTATTTCCAGAACGATTCATATTTTAGTTAACTCAATTTGATCATCGAAGAAAAATTTGCCTGAAGCGGTAAAACTATCATGAACAGTCTTCTGTCTCGATCTGTTAGAAAGTTCTTGAAGAATGTATATCCCGTTCCAATAAGAATAATAGTGCCAAACAATAACGCACCTTTCAATCTTTAAAAAAGTAATATATACTCATACAGTAGTATCTTTCAAGTGATTCGAGCACCAAATTACACATTCTCTGATCTAGAAAAAAGAAAATAATTTATGTGGTAAAGACATACAGATGCGTAATATAGTAAACAATAGCCCAAATCTCGCGCTGATGTCCATATACTGCTACAAAATAATAATTTGTACCATGAAATAATAAAGATAACGCTTTCAAGATGACTAGTGCTGTCATCAAGTGATGGACTTTATACACCGTACCAGGTCTACAACAAAACTAATAATATGAATCACGCTATTTCACAAGTAAAACTGATCTATAATCGGTTTAAATCCAAAAATATAACCTTGAACGATAAATGCTTTGCATCCAAATACAGGCAGCGAGTGCAAACATTGCTGACATTAACAAATAAAATTTGGGTTTAGCTATATCACCAGCAGAAAGATATGACCCGATGTTACGTTCAGTAATGTCAACCTCCAAATTTTCATGAATATTATTATAGATGTGAACAGGTGAAATAGATTGGCAAAATGATCTATGGTGATAGAAATGAACACTTTAGAAGGGGCTCAAAATGCCATATTGGTTGACGAACTTGAAATAATCACTACGATTTTTGATGGTTGCGTGAGATAAATTTAACAATAAGAGAATACACAAAAAAATAAAAAAAGGAACCGTGAAATGTACAGCAACTTGATTGTTGTAACCGTGTGCACGATAATTGAAGCAGTTGTGATAAATAAAACTGTAACTACCTTCTTGTCCTTCCGTGAAACGAATTGAAAACTGAAATAAATCTCAACACAATGAAGTAAGAAAAATTAAGGAAGGTAAAACTGAAGAAAAAATTATCCTGTTTTTTTATTTTTTTCTAAGCCTACGAAATTATTATTTTTCAAACCATCAAGTTACTAACCGCAGTAGAATACTGATCACCAGAAAGACTAAGTGGAACATAGTCTTTGTACAATGTTTCATCAGCAGTTGCTGGGAAAAACATGTTATGTAGTCTGTGCAGCTTGTTAAGAAGACCAGATTCATTTTCAGTATCCTGTCAATTTGTTTATTTTACGAGGAATTAAAACATTAATGTAGCAGTAAAAGTTCGAAACAATCTGAACTAGACGATAACATATGCTTCTTTCTAAAAAATTCAAGAATAAATAAATACCTTTGTAGATATATCTGTGCCATCACTAAGTGAAGATTGTGATGAAGTTGGGCTTGTTAATTTTGGGCAACTGCAATGCAACATTTAATATTATAAACTTCTCAAACTTATTAAGAACATAAATAACTATTTGACACGTACTAAAAAAGCAAAAAAAGTGGATGTACAAATGTAATAATGTGATACAGAATGAATGAAATTTTGGTGTACTACAAATGATATTTTTAGATAATGATAAAAATTTGATACAAAATTCTGAAAAAAATTTTGATTTTTCTGAATTAAAAACAATATAGCTGATAATTTCGATTTACGATCGACAGATAAGTTTTCACTTCACTAACCTTTCCAAATTTCCGCACAGTTGTAAATTATAGATTGATCCGGTGCGTAAAACCTTCAGGCTATTTTGGGTAAAATTAAATATGAAAAAAAGAGCGTCATAACCTGAAATTACTTCAGTCATGAGATATCTCACGAATAAAGTTGGATCAAATTGCAGGTTACTTCGCGCACAAACCATAGAATAGATAAAGGAAATAAATATGCCTACATCGAAAAAAATATAGTGTGTATAAGAATATTACCTTGATCAAGTTGTGATAATTCACACACATGTGGTTTCATTCGAACACCATCTAGTACATCCTTACCTCGAGATAATGTAAATCCGATTACACCCTGAAATCTTTACATACGAATGAAGTCATAACTTTAAATATAAAGAAAGATAAAGAAATACAAAGTTTTAATATTATGCATACGGTATCTTACTTTTGTACCAAAATTTTTAAAAATAAATAGTTTTTTTTGCATATCCTTTGTGTACTTTTGTTTCCAAATTTTTTAATGAATTCTACTCAGCAAAGAAAATGCAAATAGAAATCATATAACAAACAAATCTGTCGGTATTACGCTGTTCCTTAACCACATCTGGAGACACCAGCTCAACAGGAACAGTGAAATTGTACAACCTAAAATCGAAGGTGCCACCGACATTGTACCCAAATGTTGTTAATAAGATATTTCTTCGTGCGTCATTCTGTAACCGAAATGATGCATGAAAAAGTACTGGATCTACAAAAACGTGAAAAACTTACATACACAAAAACTGTCAAAACTCTTATTTTGTTTACCATTACATATTAATTTACTTATTTAATGAATTATACAATAAATGACTCTGAAGTCTGTAAATGACAATTTTTCCAAGTCCCATGGAAGCTTGAAAAGAAACTTAGATATACTGGTGATATATTTCTAGCAAAAGATTATATCTCAGAAGCCTTTACGCTTGATTAGCTAATATATCAAAGTTTCTCTGACACAATGATTTATTCTTCAAAAATTTTCAGTTCGGTAAATATATTTATTAACTGATTACACGACCAGTACTGCATGAGACTTGATCTTTAATAGTACTTTTATTTTCGATTACTATTTGATAAAAATAATAATGTCAAAGTGAAAAAGTTTCGCTTATAATTTTCCAAAACAAAGAGAATAAAAACAACCCGAAAAACCGTGACTTGAGTATGCTTAATTTTATATCTTGGTTGTTCCTCTTCAAAACAATACCCTTAATGCTAGGTGATGAATTTTGCATCGAACAAATACCACTGGAATAACTAATACAACAATCGTCAAGACTACCAATAATTTCATTTATGGATGATCTGAAATGATAGCAAAATTAAGTGAACTGAAACAACGCATACTGCAACCTTTCCACTAATGACAAAAAATAAAAATATGCAAATTTCTGTTCAATTAAATTTCAAGAAATTAATTTTCGAAAAGGAATTATATTTTCAATCAAACATCTCAAGGTTTCCTCTAATACTTTCTAACTACCTTCTTGCAAGACGACGTAAATGTGCAAACCTTATCACTGTTATGAATGTGCCAGTACTTTAGATGAATAATCACACCTACTTCGTAATTTTCAAGACTAGCTTTATAACTGAAAATGGCTAAATTTTAACGCGGTTATGGTGATGAAACTACTGTTTGTTTGTTTTGTAATTTTTGTCCCGTACCAAACTGATTTTGATTCATCCACTCAGGAAATAACCATAGTGAATTACCTGCTGCATTCACTAAATAGCCGTCCTTTGTTTTAGCTACCTCTGACCTCTCAACCCTAAACTGTTCATTTTTCACCGTTTCTCAACTATAATCGACCCCTCAATTTGTTTCCCTTCAGTCACTCTCTAGTTTTGTCATATTCTGAATATTTTGAATGTTTCCTAGGTCTCATGCTTAGAGACTAAGACTTCACGACTATATCTTCACCATTAATAGCTCTTCTGTCTTTAATAGCTCAATATACACATACTTTGTAAAGTATTCAGTATATCCCTCAACCATCTTCACCCTGTTCTCATTTCATCTTTTGCAGTTTTTGCCATTTTCTAACCACTATATCTCTAAAATGTAATACGACTACACTATATTTAATAACTATTTTGAACACATGCTAAAATGTCACATAAATGTAATTGATGTGGATGTACTCACTTCCCAGTTTGTATTTACGACTACTCACTGGCCTTCTAAATCAGTAACTCATGTAAATAATTCATCTATAGTCGCTGACTAATTATTTCTGTTTTCAAATGATTATGGCAGAAAAATCTTCTAACTGTGCTTAATTAATCATTGCTATCTGATTCAGAAAACTTTTTGTCTGTTGTCGAGTTAATCTATTTTTCGTTTATTTTCAGTGTAAATAGTAGCGATAACTGATATAATTAAACATCAGTGTAGAGACTGTACTTAATACAGGAAGTAGCAGTACTATATTTTATTTCTAATACTTAAACAATTAATTCAATGACGAAAAGCCAAACCAAAAAGAAAATTTTAACGCTGATGTCGTTTATTTTTGCGTGTTCTACACAAACAAAGTATGCAATACAAAAATATAGAACGATTATTTTGTCAAATGATACATTGTGAGTAGATGGCAGCAATGATGAATTCGATATCACTGTAGAAAGGATTCAATTTATTTCAAGCTAAATTTTTTAGGCATTTAAGACTACATTTTTTAGGCATTTAAGACTCGAAATGCTTCGAGAGTTTAATAAATCATTACTATTAAAGTCAAAAAAAAAATCAATTTAAAAATCAACCATATTTTGAAAAATCAACTTCTGAAAGCAAAAAAATTCCCTTTCTTGCGTTGAAAAGAACAAAAGTTATCTATCTTCCCCAACATAAACTAAAGTGAGCAAAGTTGAAACTTGACTACTTTTGTGCAAGATGCATTTTTTTTTTCCTTACAGTAAAAAACAACTCTATATTGTACTTCAAGAAGAACTATCACAAACTAAGTTTCGTTAAACGAATATAAGTTAAAATCATGCGCAAAATTATAAATGACTATGGGCAGGTTTCAAGGCATGATAAAACAACATTAAAACTTTTCGCTACAGCAGTAACTAATATTCTAATGAACTAAACACCTTTCAGCAATTAGCATTATTTAGTTAAATAAAATGAAAACAAAGCTAAAATACAGCTTCTACAATATTGTTTCACATTATCTGCATCTTTTATGAGCTATTTAATAGCAACGGCAGTTGTTACTTTACATCAATCCTTTGAATCGCAAATGAAACCTTTAAATCTAATCAAAAGATTAAAGCCAAAGATTTTTGTAACCTTTTAGACTTTTTTTTCAACAAAAAGTCGAAATTTATGTTTTCTCTCTACCGTTCATTACCGCCTAGAAACGTTTGATTGTTGCTGCATTGGACTAGTAGATCGCCTTTGCATCATCATTCTGTTTCTTTCATTCTCAAGATCACGCTCCTTTAAATTGTCACTAATTCGTTTTTTCAGTTCATTTGGAAAACGATCATAGCAACGCTTGCACGTTGGTTTCATATCAAATTCATAAAATTTCGTCCTGAAAGTTCCATATATTATACGACAAGAGTAAATATATTACTTTCTATCCGCAAAAGATATCAAGTATGACTTGTATTTATACATGAAGTACTATTTCTTCAACACATGAAAAGAATATCTATTTCTGCTGAGAATATTACATTATGAATCAAGCATTTGATTGTTTTGTTTATCATGACCTATAACTTAACAACCCGTATAACCACAGGTCAGTAAAAAATGCAAACTTCCAAGCAAGCACTTCAAACAGCAGTAAACATTTTATTCATAAGTTTTTCTTAAAATTAAAGGTCTAAATTCCATTATAAAGTAAAGTTAGATTATTCCGATAGCTTTACATAATACGAAGCAAAGAATTACTTGTGATCCATTTTCCTATCACAAAGGCTACAGCCGAAGCACTCAACGCACCAAGACTTATTCAGTGCTTGAAATACTTCACCACTGCATATTTTTCCACATTTAAAACAAATATTGCCATACAACTAAATATATTTATTATGCAAAATTAGCCAACTTCAGATCGCAATTTGTTTGCTGAATTCAGTCAGCTATAAATCTTATTCTCAGCATTAACTAAATAAAATTAGCATGTTCTTATTCAGTAAAACAGCGTAAATATAAAATCCTTTTATACAATAAAACATAGGGCCAGAAATATCTATAGTGAAAATGAAATAAAAAAAACAAGCAACCAACAATTACCAGAGCGTTTTATATTTTAATAACTGAGGTTCAGAAGCAAGTACGATATTGAAAAAAAAACAACCTTGTGGTAATGTAGTTCACAGTATGCCAATCCTTTCTTCTCATAATGACGATGGCCAAGAAATGGTTTTTCACAAACAGCGCATACAAAGTGCTGCAATTTTCCTCACTAAATATGTACACAATTTTGGAAAAAAACCACAATGTTTCAAAATTCATATGACACAGGATATATTATATTTCATAAATAAACTAAAAAATTGTTCTGAACAACAAACTTTATGGTGAAAAAATTTAATGATGCAAGAACTAAAATATAATCAAACTTCAATATGCCAATTTTTGCCTAATGCAGTAACTACACGTTCTTCGATTGGTCTGTGACATGCACCACAGATTGGTATACCCATCGTATCATGGCATCGTAAACAATACAGTTCTCCGCCCACCTCACGTGAATTTGTATCTAACTCTACTCTGAAAATTTTTACGTTTCAATTTCACGATAAAAATCATAAATGCTTTTCCTTTTGATAAAACCTTAATTATGTGATAAATATGCTTTAATTTTAAATTCTGAACGACATAAAAACATGCTTTATACTATTTTTTATTTTCAATACTGACTGATGTTACATTTTTCAGTTGTAATTTTAATTTTAAAAAACAGAGAGTTAATTTGAAAAAAAAGCAGTAAGTTACTAAGTAAATTTGATGCTTCCAAAATTTTACCCACAACGTTTGCACTTGAAATGATACGGATGAAAACTGTCGCCATGATATTTGATATGACCACCGTCTTCAATTATACCTTTGCATTTATGACAAACATAACGACCGCGACCTACTTCTTTTTCAAGTTCATTACATTCGCGACAAAGTGCCCTGAAATATAATCTAATTTATCACAGAATAACAAATTCTATTTTACCCACTCTAAACAACTGAAACTTCCAATAAAATTTGCAGTTACGTTTAACTAATTCACGACTAAAATAAAGTAAAATAAACCACAATTTCTTTGCTTTATTTCACACATTCTCGCAGTGACAACCAATGATGAATTCGAAAATACCTTCCACAGTTTCTTAAGAACCCAATATCAGCAAGTTCTTTATTACATAATTCGCATCGAAAGCATTTTGGATGCCAACTGGCATTCATCGCTTTTATCACCCTTCCCACAATGAATTCGTCTAAATAAGACAAATATATAGCGGAGTAATTAGAAACTTGTAAACCTGATACATTACTAACATGATATTCTCATCTCTGGTTGAATGTTTAAAATGATTCATAACATTAATAGCAGAAAAAGATTAAAAAATGAAACAAAAACATTCTATAAATATATTAAATAAAACCAAGACGAATTCAACCCCCTCAAAAAGCTATCAAAAACAACCTATGCTTTAAAAAATATCGAATATTTAATCAACATACTGCATTTGTTGCAACACGGAGCATACAATACATGGAAATCGTGTTCGCAGTATTTTCGTCCTTCAAATTCGAAATAAATACCATCTGGAAATGGCTCCAGACATTGCGAACAACTGTAATATTATATATATCATAGAAAAAGGATAGTATTCAATGAAAATATGTGAGAACGTGCTAACAGTAAAACATATCAATAGCCTTATCAATGTTTTTGATGCTTATCAGTTCAGACATGAAAGAAAGGTTTTCATTGGAGAAATTTTAATGCAGAGATGTACTTTACAGTACCCTTAGTCAATCATGCTAAAAGCTACGATCAAATTCCGATTTTAAACTTATTATGATGGAACAAAGAAGTCGACATCAGTAACAGAATTAAATATTAAGAGTGCTTTGATTATTTAATTTTGAATTTGTTTCACAAAACTTGATTTTTGTGTAGATTTGCACTTAAAAAACTGAAAACTTACACAAAGCAATCAGAATGCCATACTTGTCCAGACGAATTCACGATTTGCTCGTTTAGATCAAAGCTATCATGACACCGAACGCATGATAAGTTTTCGAAACCCGAGCTCAAATCACCATTCATTCCACTATCCATTCCTCCACAGACCATCAATGACACTTTTTATAGAATTGCTTTCGCCACAAAAAATCTTTAATTAGTGCTAAGTCACGGCTTTGCTTACACAGTTTAATACATACTTGAAACATAACCATTACTGTTTTCAGTACCAAAAATACTTTAATCCAAAACTTCGTACAAATTTTACTTTATAATCATCGTCAAACACGTGCAAAGAGATACTAAATACTTATCATTTTGAAAGGGACAAAAGTTTTATTACAAACAAGCACTTGAAATATCAAAGATACAGTATACTAGATCAGTATACAGTTTATTTACCATACTTTTGTTTGAAATGTAGCTATTTTTAGAAATTTACGTAAATTATTGCTGCACTGTGAAGATAACTACTTCAGCATATCATTTATAATCGAAAACAAACTTAAATCTGTTGCTATAAACAGTTATTATAAAAATTAACATGTCTACATTTATCAGCGAGAAATAAACTACTAAATATTATCTCTGTTTACATCTTAGTGATAATGGATAAAATTTCGCCTTTCGTCTAGAAATGAATCCATAAAGTATGAGCTTCCAGTTGCGATTTTTTTACGACTGCTTCATAATTATTGTTATTGCTCATCAAAAGAATCAGCGAAAGAACCATTCGAGACAAATAAAAGTATTTATCGCATCTCAAACGTAAGCTTGCGAAAAAATATTAATAGTGAAATAATAATTCCAAACAATGCAACTTCTTGAAACGTTTGAATAAATTTTTGAAACCAATTACGACGAATTGTGCCAACGAATCTTATTTTAACACCAACAAAACTTTTTTTTTAAAAAAAAAAAACAACATGAATGAACTTTCTCGCGCAATCTGTCATGAAAATGTGCAATGTAACTCAGCTTAGAAGCAAATGAAAATAAGAAAACGAGAAAAATGAAAGGCAATTTCAAATTTTTGAATTTTTTATGCATAAAAATATTGCATTTGTAAATGCAAATGAATGAATACATAATCAAGAATACGTTTAGTAGAGAAAGTAACAGAGAGAGAAGCGAAACGATGGGATTGAATCAAATGATTTTCTGAAGTCAGCAATCTCAGCAACGATCTTTTGCACTGAGGGACAGACGAATTCCGATATATACACATCGACGTAAACAAAGCAACTAGGCAAGATAGAAGCAGTTAGAGCTAGCACAAACCCCTTCTCAGAAGTTATTACTGCAGTCATAGCAGTCCCCTGCGATCCTGCACGATATGATATATCTTACTCTAACTCTTTCTTCACACTTTTCACAACAAATTCTAAAATTTGACTTCATCATTACAACATTTCAACTGCAAAATACAACTCTTTTGAACACAAAATACTTTTTCATGCAATGAGTACGAAACTAAAATTGTACTCATCAATATTAGCGAATTTATTTGGCGCATTCGCTAATCCGTCTAAGTTTTTGCGCACGTCCGATAATTATTTACTAACACATAAAAGTAGACTAGTAATGGAGTTAAAACTTATGTGCAACGATGCTTCTTACACTCGTCAAAGTAAAGTTAAAAAATAATTGCCGATGTAAACCGCCCTATACCGAAAGAGCGTGTAAAGTTTATTCTCTCTCGAATGGTTTGATTTTCGAGTTACGTAGAGAAAGATCCTCTGATGTAAATTTTGTTTGGAAGGATAGACATTTGAGGCACGATGAAGGGGCGTGAAAGTACAACCATTAACGAGAAATTAAGGCTAGCGTCCATTCTGCCACACAGTTATGAGGAGATAAACGTGAAAGCTCAAAGACTTCACGTCAATCTGATGCTATTTGCTATTATTCTTAATCTCACGTTGGGAATAGAATACTATATTCAACAATTGTGGAAGCAGATTTAAGAACGTACTAAATCGCTGCATTCTATTCTTGCACGCATAATTTATTTTCTGTGATTTATAAATATAGTTAACAAGGATGAACAATATAAATATAAACATAAATAGTCGTATAATAATTTGTGAAAGGATCTTCGCGCTGTTGCAGCGATCGCTATTTTGTACTGATTTAGCTTCACACATTCATACAAATATAGAAAGTGTTGCTTCCAACTAAGCTTACTTATTCATAATAATCTAAACTTGAAATGCAATTAATGTGTTGATATTTTTTCCTAAAAAAATTGTTAAAAGTTTTTCAGAAATTATCAAATAATTATTTGATAAGATTAAGCACGAAATAATTTCATCAAATAATTGCAGTAGATGATATTATTAGAATTATGATGTGTTTGTTCTGCTTGAGATATAACTTATCTATTATCGTATACCTAAAGAGCACTTAATTTGCATATTCACACAGAAAATATTTCTAAAATTGATCGTTGCGAAAATGGCTTTAATAAAAACTTTACAACCAAAATTCATTTTGATTTTATTTAAAATCATTAAAATTTTAGAGTAAAAATTGACGCAACTCTTATTATAGCATTTTTCATTACTTCTTTTTCAACTTTCCACTATTATTTTTGTAATTTCGATACTAAAGAAAAGCCTTGTCAGCCGTATTCCAGACTCAAATACTGAATTATTTAAAGAGTAGTCAAAACGAGATTTGTTTTGAAAGTGCGCACTAACCTATATGACCTTCTCTAGTACTACCACGTATTATGTTCTTTTGACAGTAGATACTTTACCAGTTTAGAAAATTTTTTATAGAGGAATAAAAACAATTTTCACTTAGATACCTGACGTAAGAAATCAAAATTAAATTCGAAATTTGACTTATTGATTTGACGCTTAAAGACTTGAAAACTTTTGTTAATGACTTTGTAAATAAAAAATGAGCAACATTTTAGACAGTACAAAATATATATTTGATAATGATTTCAATTAATCATAGTGGATCATTTATTGCAGACTTCTTCATGGCATAACTCGAAGAGATTATTTGAAGCTGCAAGCAAGCAATGAATGATAAGACACCATTGTTTCTGCTTATTGCAACAGATAACATCGATAGATCTAATCAATGCAAATTGTGGCAAATTAATATTTATTAATCCCTTATAGATTACAAGTGATTAAATAATTATAATTTACATTATATATGGCAGACACTGAATAAAACTTTTGTGTGACTCAATTCATTTTTGAGAACGTTTTTTCTGCTTGCACAATACTTCGTAGAGTTGCATTTTTCAATAATTTTAAATGATATTTCTTTTAAAACTGTACAGCAAAAGTACTTGTGATTAATAAATTACGCTTTGAGATTGAATGCAACTTTTGAGTAGTGTCAGCTTAGTTAAGAACATATATCCGAGCAAAAGCTTAATTCGAATCAACAAATTTTGTTGTCCACTAATTGATAAAAATATATTTTCAAATGTGAAATTGCTACTGTAATTTCAATGTGATTCTTCAGTTTATAGCAAGCATTCGTATTTTCATTCCACCATGTGTTCCACTTCTAATAATTGTGAGTTTTTTATATTTCAAAAAATACATTTGAATAGCAAACATACAAAAGTTTTTACAGAAAAAAGAAAGTAATACAAATTTCGAACTTTTTGTAGTTTAGAATTGGGCAGATAAGTTGAAATGCCCAATTACAACTACTTCCTGTTGTAATCTAAAGCCTTCTGATTATAACAATTGACATTTTTCACTTTAAAATTTACGCTTTGTGCAATTAATTGAAATTCCCCAGTAAAGTTACGTGTAATTTAAGTAATACCTACCGATTAACGTAAACATGCATTATTACGATGCTCATATTAGTAAATTTGTACTTTCACATACTTAGTAAATGCTAAATAGTAAACTAGCCTTTGTTTTGTTTTGGCTGTTAGCGAAAGTATTTGCTCATTATTATACCTTACTTTGCATTTCTTTTTCTTCTCAAGAACTTTGCTACTTTCATGGCAACTTTTATTATTTTTTGTGTAAACTAACAAATTTTTGAAAATTAAAAATCTCAACTTGTAATTACTCAATCAATCAATAATTACTTGAGCTGATAAAAGTTTAAATTTAGCAAAAATTTACTTCACTTGTAAAGGAAGTAAATGATTAAAAATTTCTGCACAATGTTTCAGTCAAAAGAAATATGAATGAGCAAAACTCGAAAACTAATTCTCTTCAGATTTGATATTGATTTTTTGAATGGTCACTTTCTGGTCAAGGCGAACTTAAATGGAACAGAATGAGTTATGTATCGAAGCAGCAAAGCAGTATAAACTCTCAACGTTTCGCTATTTGCCGTTTTTTTTGCTTGTTATTATTAGCATAATTTCGCTAATAATGATAAGATTCACTCTAATTGGCATCAAGTACGTCACTTTACATAGGTAAGTAAATTAAAGGTCTGTAAACACATAACTCTATGTTATTACTACTTTTATCTACTCAAATAATAAAAGTTACCGTACCATTCATTCATATTTTTTCAATAATGATATAGTTTTGATCACATTCTGAGTTTTCTAATCAATGATGAATATTCTTCTGTACTAAATCATCGCACCCTAAAAATAGAATTTGGCAAAATTCAGTTATTAACATAAATGACTTTTGATTTTTCAGTGCATTGTCCAACTTTCCATCCGTTTGTATACCAATAGAAAATAGTTATTGTAAATGCAAAATTATGTGAATGTTTGTTATAAAAGCATAAAATTGTGTGAATGAAAGAAAAAAATACCTAAAAAAGGTTAATAAAAAGTATACTTACTTGTGCAGTGTGAAGAATTATGATTAATATTTTAATAATAATTGCATTTCTTATTGGTAATTAGTTAAAAATTCAAATAATTTTAAAGTAAGAAAGCGTTAAATGCAAATTGTGGTCTAACTAAACAGCCAGGCTTGATATGAGTAAACTGAACAGAGAACTTTATATCAGCGTTTAATCAGAGGCAGTTTCATTTCAATTATCACTAACTCAGATGAGATGTAATGGATCAGTTTAAAGCTTATAATATTCAAATCAGTAATTAGCACAAGAAATATTCACTGACTGATCTTACTTTTGGATATTTTCTTTGATTAGAACTAATCTATACATATGCACATATATAATAGAAATTCCTTGTTGCTACTACAAAATATGAATGTGGCGGGATTAGTAGCGAATTTTGGTGCTGCTGTGCTAATTTTGTATGAATGGCGGATATTCCAAACTGAAATGGATGATTCTTGTGATTTCCTTATACCTTACACAGTGTGCTTCTTAATCCGTTCACCTCTGTTTTGTGGTGCTTTAAATATGCATACTTTTGGTACAATATTCTTTATTGAAAGACTTGTCGCGACCGTAAAGTAAGTCTGATATTTTTTACACTTTCTAATGAATACAAACTTAATAGTTTACTTAAAAACATCATTGTTATGCTAATTAATTATAGCATTTTTACTTGAAAACTGCCAGTCTCAACTTTTGTAGAAAATTTTGCCTCAGTAAATAGCAAGTATTTCGAATAATGTAATTAACTTATGAATATTTCTAGAAATAAAAATCATGCGTATTACAATGATTAAGTTGGTCGTATTCATTCTTATTTATAATATTCATCAGAGCTTATCAAATAATTAAACTAATCTGATTTTGTTTGGCTTTTCAATCAGTCAACAGATTATTTATACAGTTTGCAACTGAAAATTATGAACTTCCAGCAATGTATTATCTTTACTAATCAATTTTTGTTTTTATTAATCAATAACATAAGTGATCAAAACGATTCTTTGCTTGAATTATTTAAAAATTAAAAAACTATTTGTCTTTCTTCGTTTTCACAGTGAAAATCTAAAAAGTAAGTTTGTTTGTTTTTTCTGAAAATTGCTCAAAATCTGTACAGATCGCGATATTATGAAAAATCCAAAGGAAATGTTATCGCTATTGCGTTGATAATTGTTCAGTGGAGTTTCGCACTGATACTGCTTGCTTATCACGGTAATGGACAGGTTAATATTTTTCATTGTTATAAAGAACATTACTGCACAGATCAAAGATAATCATTATGCCAGTACTTAGCAGTAGTTATTGATTGTAGAGTGAATTTTCTGATCTTTGAATCAATCAGATCATATTGATTGATAATGTGCTCAATTCAACTATTCAAATTTTTTCCTAATCAAAAATATGTGATTAAACTATTAATTTCAGGTTGGCAAAGGTTTAAGAGTTCCAATTTGTAAACTGACTACAGTGAACACTGATTACCGTTACTATAATGTGATATACTGTTTAAGTATTCTTGACATTCTTTCTTTTGTTATTCTATTCATTCTTTTCATTTACAACAAGAATCTTAAGCGAAAATCAGCCAACAGTCAGTGCACACTATCCGAACGCTATCAAGTGAGTTGACCCCAAAAAAAGTACTCAAAAAAATTATTTAATTTATGCAAAAAAATTATTTAAATTTTGGTTGTGCTTGTATCAAATTCGTTTATGATTGAGTCCATTGTCAAAATGAAGTAAATGACAATATTTAAAACCTTTCATTATATAATAACTTTTTTCAAATATATTTTATATAATAATACTACATGCGCAACAAAAGTGGGATAGAAGTGAAAAGATATGAATTTTCAACAAACATAGTTTTTGAATAGATCACGTAACAGTTTTGAGACGTTGAAAGGCATGTCGGAAACCAGAAAAAAGTCAGATATACAAAAATATGCAAATTAGTTTTTCAATAAATTAACTTTAAGAGTTCTTTTTTGCAATCATAAATTGTTATAAGAGAACCAAGAATCAATCAAAAAAAGCCTTCTTTGTGTGAAAATATTTTTCTCAACAAAAAGTTAATTTATTTTCAGGCCTGAAAGAAGTAAGGTTTGCTAATTATTCTTTCCGTCAAATATTCGAAGTTTTACTATAAAAATTTATTGTAAGGAAAGCATTTGTAGAAATAAAAAATATAAATACAAATAATACTTGAAGATTCGGGAAAATGTTCGATTTCTACGTCTAGCAATCCACGTATTATTAACAAATGGTGTTGTATCTCTAATACACACTGTACTGAGTGTCCTTTTCAAAAAATTTCATTCGCCTGACTTCGAGATGATCCAACGTAAACTAGAACCACTTTCACAAAGCGTGCTTGGTGCTATTGTCGTGATGCTGATTGAAATAGAAAGCAGGTGGACTTATTCAACAATTTTTGCCAATTGTTTATATGAATTTACAAAAATATTATTTTTATTATATTTTTGAAAATAGTGCATGAAGTAGTGATGATAATTTGAAAATTACAGACATGCAACCAAGCAATAATAAAGCTATATTTAAAATTATTCACATAGTTACCAAAACACAACTTGCAATAAATATTCATAACAAAATTTAGGTGATAAAAATGTATGCGAGAAAACAAGAATTCTCAGCAAAATAATGCAATAAAAACAGCAATTAATTCTGATAGTTTTTAATTAAACTATAAATTCGATAGTTTATATTATTCTCTATCAAATATTAAAAATCAACCTTTAATTTTAGTCTGTTGTTCTAAATTTTTCAGTAATATCATTACACTATTACTGAAATCGAAAAGTAAATCAATTTCATTATCTTATTACGCGAAGAATAATCATAATGCTGGATTTACGATGAGATATTGAATAACAGAACTATAATGTTCAGACTTTCAACTAATATTTTAAGAATCTATTATAGACGAAAGAAACGAATAACTTTGGATACAAGTTTGAAAGGTTACGCAATTGATGGCATGACAGCCTTGAAAGATACGTGGAATTTGAATGCCGATAAACGTAATAAGCCTTTCATACAACGTTTACTTTCATTATGCTGGAGCGATGAATAAATGTTACAACTTCTACTTTCAACTAATATTTTATCAGTTTATCGTTTGCTTCAATTTGAAATTATTTATTCACTCCAAGTAGATTTCACTCTTTCATAAAACCCAATGCTTTGCTTGAAAGCATCTGTAAACTTTACAACTTTTCAGTTTTTATATTATTTTAATAAAAATAAATTTTGCTGCTTCAATAAAGGTACCAAATATAGAGTTGTTTAAGCAATTCTGCGCAAATACATCTTCATTACACAGTACTCTTTTGAAAATTTATCAAGTTCAATTCAAAAGTTGAATAACTTAACTAAGCAATCATGAAAATGAAAATGAAAATGAAAATGCACAATGGAAATGATGAAAAGCAAGAATAAGTATTGAAAACTTGCACAAAATGAGCTGAATTTGCGTGGATACACAGAATAAGCTGAACTTGCGTGGATATACAGAATAAGCTGAACTTGCGTGGATATACAGAATAAGCTGAACATGTGTGGATGTACAGAATGAGCTGAGCTTCAGCGTCTACACATGAAGACACAGTTGTAACAAAGATATTAAGTAGAATGACGAATTGAAAGAAAATTCACGCAAATAAACAATAGGAATGTAATAAATAAAGCAAACATAAGAGGTCATGGAATCAAATTTTAGAATGTCATATCAGTTTGCTAGAATTACTGAAGACAAAAAGCATTAAAAAACTATCATCTTGCATTTAAAATAAATTTTAAAAGTATAAACAAAAATATGATTCACACGCTTATAGCATCATAACAAGCAAAAACAAGACAGATTCTAGCAGTCGTTGCGATGGCAATTCTTTAACTATTGGCTGTAATGGACGAGTTTTTCCGTTAAGCATTATTAATTAATTAATTCATTGAATTTTTAATATTAATATTTGGAGTAATATTTTGGGAAAAAAGATGCTAACTTGCGAGGCTTTTCATAATTATTACAGCTGCTTTTTTAGAAATAAGAATTTACTTTGTTAAATTAATTTCATTTACTTCCACTTTCATTCTAGATGAGTTAGCAAGCCAGCTTGCATTCGAGCTAAAGCCATAAAATGATATTCTAAGATCAAACTTTTTGTAAATAAATATAATTTTCACTTAATTATCAAACTTATCACTCATAACTTACATTATTATCAAATCAATAATGCATTTTTGTGCATAACAAATTGTTTCTGTAATGAAAATTACGTCATTAAATTTTTCTGTGTGATCGCTGACTGTATTATGTTGCAATTTTGCAAGTAATCAAAGCAGAAATACAAAAGAAAGTAAAAACTTGAAGGCCTTCTAAGGAACTGAAGTCCTTAACGAAGTCAGAAGGAAGACAGTACTTGCTATGAATTGAACTTTGATGTCTCGAGCTCAGCACTTAATAAAGCGCTTAACCACTGCACCATTAAAATTAGGGAGGTGGAACATAAGCGTTGCGTCGCGTCGCCTCAGTGCGCTGCGTGCTTTCCTTCCGCCCAGGTTGTCATTTCGTCTGAGGCATAGGGGGCTGTGAAGTTGTGCATGTCAAGCTGGCAATGAATTAGCTAGCTTGACTGTTACGTGCACTCACAGTGATGGTAGCATTGTTTGGGAGGAAACATTGTCTGTTTCCTCACTTTTTCGCGCCAACCCCTTATTGTGTAAGTTGTTTTTGTTATTATTTGCTTGCTAGCATTAATGATTATTCTCTGTATTACATAAGCTTTTGTATTGTCTACTTTTCGTTAGCAAGAGTTATTTTTGCCGATTAACTTGTGTAACTTATTTGGCAAAATGGTTACTCAAAGTGTTTTTAATATCAGAAAAAGTGTACATATTTATTGCATAGGAAATTACCATTTTTTCTTTTTCAGAATTTCAATATAATGCCTCAAGCAAATGGCTGAAAACTGGAAAATTTAAAACTAACATGGTCTTGTTTTATTAAGAAAATTGAAGCAGCAGTGATATCCCGCTTTGGGATATGCCTCTGCTGACAAGACCAGTCAAGGCCAGGCTCATGGTTGAGATGCATGGTGCTGCTTATTCAGCATCCTTGAGTTTGGTGAAGAAATTAGCGAGCATCACTAAACTCAAGCATCATGCATCTGCGCATTTTTTTTTAAAAGTAAGTTTGTTTCTTTGTTTTATCCCAATTTTAATGAATTTTTAGCTCAGTTGCAATTGTATTTTGATGTTTCATTGGTTGTTTGTGTAAAAATAGTTGTGTATCGTTTCAGGATTTACAATTTTCGCCATTTGGGTAAAGTTATACCTTGCCGTCATTATGTTCTGGTAAGATGCATTTACCAGAACATATTACATGCAGTGGAAAGCGCAGTATTCCACTGTACATGAATGGGCGGCTTCTGGTGATATTAAGCAAAATGTTTATTTTTATTAATTTTAATTTCACAGAATGTTATTTTAAAAGATTAAATTGTAACAGTTATTTTTAATTTAAAATATTTATGTACACATCTTTGTACTTTGAGAATGTAAATATGTATTTGTATTTGTATTTGTGTACTTATGTGCTTATTGGGAATGTAATTTTTGATTTGTTTATATTTATATTTGCATTTGATTATTTTGTAATAATTTGCTAGAACATGTTTGTATATTAATGTCTAAATTAATAAAAATCGATTGCACTTTGTACTTTAATGAGAATATAGCCAATCACTAATCAATTACGGTCATGCAAAGTTAGTACGTTCGCAGACTGAAAGGCTGTCTCTGAAGGCAAGTGGAGTTTTCTCGATGGTATTGTGTCTTTAAGGGTTAGTGGAGGGAATAAATGGTACTGTAAGAATTGACGAAGCTCTCTGGTTGTGTGAGTATTGTCGGAAGTGGTTGTAAAGTTCGCTTGGCAAATTTGTACTTGACGTCATCGGTGGTATTTCGTTTTCATGACTAAATCATAATGCTGTAGTCAAATTAGGTCAGTCTTATGTTATTGGATGAGTTTGCCTGTCGAATCGATTTTTAAAGTGCAGACTCTTAATGACGAAATAATAGGCGACAGTGAGAGGGCTGATAATAAGGGGTTGATCTGATTCTTTTTCTAAAAAAAGCATTCTTGATACTAAACTTGTTCAAGTCAAATACTTACCCAGACCGATTCATTTTGCACTAAACATCCATTCTCTCTAGTCTGGATCAGAACTTTGTACAGGCTTTGTATCTTCGTTAAACCGTACTTTACTGTTATGTTCCTGAGCTAATCTTTAGCTAGCTAGTCCATTTATCCATCAGATTAATCTTTTCTGTGATAAAAATATTCATCAGTGCTGTACTTTAGCTAATTATTTGTCAGCTGTACTGTATCTTTATCACGAAGCTGATTTTTATCAGTCTGATCTAGAACTGATTTTGCTGTTGGCACTTTCATGTTTTAATCAGCGAAGTGTCAGTTTACAATTTTTACTGCTAAGAGAATGCATCAATGGCTTGGCAGAACATTTGAATTCAAAAATATAAATAATCTTACAATTAGGTAGAAATAGTCTTTCTTCGCTTATTGCATGCTGAATACTTTTGCATTCAGTTTATTGAGAACTAGATTTTATCATCGTCCATATCTTCTTCAACATCTGCTGTTGGCACTAGTTTTTCTTTACGCTGTTGTTCATACTCACTTGGCTTGAGCTGAAGAAAGGACAGCTCAAGGCGGCTGTCTACCTAAAATTTCATTCAAATTATACATTGTTTTAAAAATGTTACTGAGAATAACAATGGTAATAATGGATAATCAGAAAGCAAATTATCTTTCAAAAAAAATATCAAAAATATATTCGAAATATTTTATCGGAAGTGAACTTGATCATTGAATTACACTTACAATAACAACAGCAGCAAAATTACACAAGTCTTCGTGATATCGAGCAGCTGAGAATACTGTTATCAGTTTTCGGTTTGCAAAAAAAGCATACCCAAATTCAACTACCTTTAAAAATTTATTACTATTATCATTGTGAGTTGTGTAGTTTTGATACTGTTAAATTTCATTGATTCAGTCAGAATCAAATTGTTAGTTGGAAAACAATATGTAAGATTAATTTGACACGTTATGGGAATAAATTTTTAAGAGCCATAGTTACTCTTTTAATTATCAACTTCATAAGATAAATGAACGCAAATCAACACTAAATATTATGATTTTGTTATATTGATTAGATGGAATTGAATCGTGCAAAGTTGATACTTCATGTAAATAATAAAATTTAATAAATATTTATACTCGTCATCATTGGAAATTATAGTTGATAAGTCTTAAGTAAATATATTAGTATGTTCCAGAACATAATATATTTTCGATCTTTATCGAAAGTGGTAAAAAGTGAGTCAAAAGATTGAAAATACCAATTGTGTATGAATAATTTGGATCTGAGTTCAAAACAATAAGCAGGATTATTGTATTCAACTGAAGTGTCATATTAACTTCAACAGTAATATCTAATTTTTACAATTAATCTCTTAAACAGTATTTATTTATTATTTTAAGCTTCTTTCAATTTTCATGTTAGTTTAAATTTGCCCAGTAAGTAACCTGATGTGCTCGTATGACCATATCAATGCCAAGCTGTTTTGTTTTGTGATGAACAGCATTCTCACCGAAAACCCAAGAAACTCCCCGAATTTGATTTTTCTGAAAACCTTGAGCACCAGCTTCTGGATCTGCCCAAAGTAAATCTTGTGCCAATCCTTTTACCATCTTTAATGGCCTTGAAAAAGTATTACTATAAGCTATTTTTATTAAACACATATTACTTTATATCTTTAAAAATTATTAGCTTGTAAGGAGCAAAAAGTAAATTAGAAAAACTTTCAAGTATATGAAACTTTTTTTTTTTAACTATTTGTTTGCATAACTTTAAATGTAATAAATAATACGCTGTACTACCAAAATACCTTTTGATGTTCCTAATGTCGTCGAGGGAATTGAGATCTGGCGATAATCCACCATGCATGCATAATATCTTGCCAGCTACAAGTGCTGCTAATGGCATTTCCGCAAAAACTTCATTAAAATGGTTGTATAAGCCCTGAGCATCAGCTTGAATCCGATAACGAGTTCTGATCTCTGCTGCGAAGCCATATGTTCTGATTTTTATCATATCATATCATGACACATCAATTTTATAATTGATTGTTGCACTTACCATATTTAATACAACTAACTTTTTGAACTATCAATTATTAAATTGCATTCAAAAAGAGTAAAAATACTTAACGATCATTATGAAAATTATATTCTTAAAAATTTAGCAAAAAACTTTCCAAAACAAAATGAGCACAATTTTTGACCAGAAATCTTGTAATTCTTTTGAAATGTTAATCCTTTTATATGCTGATTATTTTTCGAATATTTTTGCTTTTTATGCATAAATTACGGGAAATTTTATTTGCAAACAATTTTATGTACGAAACAACGCGACTTTTCGATTTTTGTGAGGTGACTTATGATAAGTTATATATCTATATTATTTGGCATAAATCGAAATATATTGTAGCAAACTTGCAAAAAAATTATAACAAACTTATTAATATGAAACAATTCGTGATTGCCACGCAAGAGAAAGACAAATTTCGGGAACTGTATTTTGCACGCCAAGAGTAGAACTATTACTTCCAGTGGATGTCTGCCACGATCCACGTAATCGCCAAGAAATAAGTAGCGAACTTTGAAAGGTAAGCCGCATGACTAGAGTTCAGTTTGTAATTTTTGTAAGGTCAGTGAAAAATGTAAGCACTTCTAATTTAATTTTTTGTTGTTTAAATAAAAATTAAAGATTGAGTGGTAAATTTGAAAATTTAAAAAATTTTATTTTTCTATCCTTTAAAAATTGTTCTTAACTTTGTTTG